TGATGTTTTTCTTAGTTCATATCTTAGATGTTATTACTGTTTTTCTTAGACATTTTATTGTTGGATGTAACTGGGACCCTGTGTACATAATTTCGCTCCACCACATGTACCACATGAGGTGCGAATGACAATAAAGAATCTCTGACTCTGACTCTGACTCTGAAGATAAGATAGAACTTTATTGATCCCACAGGAAATTGTTGTGCCAGAGTTTCAGCACAAAGGAACACAAGGTATAAAAATAACAGGGACTATAGAAAAAGCAACAGTGAAGTTCAAAACAGGTGCAGACATATTTTACAGATTCTCTGTTTGAGGAAACGATTAGAACAAAAGAGCCAAAGTTCATGCTCAATAATCCAGGTATAAAATCCAGCAACGCTCCGTCAGGTCATCTGGATCACAAAAGAGGACTTGAAATACCCAACTTGACTCAAACTGCTGGAGTTTTAGTTTCAGGTCTGCAAACCAGTGGACGAAGTGGCATCGTTCACTGTTTCTACGTATAATGGTGTTTTACTATGAAAGTGTTTTAAAAGTTGGTTCTCATGCATTTTTATTTTTATTGAACTACACATACTTATTGCCTAAAAAAATAATAATTGAAATGAATTAAAAGACATCTGAATTTTGTGAGTGTTTAAATAAATGGTAAAATAAGGTCTGCCTTCCTTTTTATTGATTTGTAACAGATTGCTGTTTAATTTTTGAGAAACAGAATTGTACACTTTGACTGGCAGCAAGGCTGCCCTGACAGAATTATATGGACGTTTCAATGAAATAATCTTCTACCAAGAGGGGGAGTCGTTCTTAAACAGTTCAGCCAGCAGCTAAAAGAACCATAGACAAGACAAGTACGTGTCATCATGAGAAAAAATATGAAACATAAAGAAACCCCTGAAAGATAATGGATCGAAAATATATTGTTTCTAAAGCTGTGACCAGCAATAAAAAGAAAAAGTAAAATGCTACCTTCTTGTTGTTCTCCAAGATAAAACTCGAGCTTTCTTTTTTGATGCTGTATGGTTTTCCACAGAAGAGTTGACAGTACTCATGATAGATGCGTGAGGCACACATCATCCCTTTAGCCAAAGCTCTAGTCCACTTCTCCACTGGTTGATTGACATTTGTGGTGTGTCTCTTCAGGTGTGATATGTGGAGCGGAGCTCTCCTTCAAACTGGAGCCCAGTGACATCATCGCTGTCCAGGAGCAGCCGCTCATGCTCCACTGCCAGGTGGACGGCGTCCCACCAGTCACCACACAATGGAGGCACAATGGCCTGCTCTTAACTCAGGACCAGGATCACACCACCTTCATCAACGGCTCGCTCCTGATCGCCCACTTCCAGAAGACCAAGTCCGACGGCTCGTCGGACGAGGGCGACTACGAGTGCATGGCCCAGAATTCATTTGGGCGAGTGGTGAGCCGGAAGGCCCGCATCCAGGCAGCCAGTAAGCTTCTTTGTCTGTGTTTGCATTCACGTGTTTTGAAGGTCGTGTTTTATTGGTTTCCAGGCAGAAAGCTGACGGGCGTGTGACCAGTTCACTACAAAGTGAGCTGACGCTGGGATCACAGGAATGATTGCCTGATAGGATCAACATAACAACAAAAACTATTAGGATGCGTTTTATCTTCTGTGTTATTCTCAAGCAAAGCATGAAATGAAAATGACACAACACAACTGGAATGACGTTATTTCAGGACAATATATTTTATTTTCTAGTGTCAAAGTGCTTTTAGATGGATTTCAAACGATGTTTGAAATTAAACATTAGGCCAAGAGGAGTTGATTGTGGTGAATAAGTTTTGTCTCCAGTGCACGTTGTGTGTTTGCCTGTTAATACAAAGCAACTTGATGGTCTTCCACTAAACTGCTGCAACCGTTGAGGGTTCTTCTTCTCCTAACATGCTGACATGCATCCTTCTTGATGGGGGAGCGGGTAGAGGTGACACGAACAGAATCACAGCCACCTGCTTCACTTTTACTCTTCTGTGATTGGTTACCGTTACAAATGTGAACACTGTAATTAAAACACCTCCTTAACTAAACACATTTTAGCCCAATCCCTGTCGAGCAAGCACCGCTGTGCATGGAAACGTATTTAATAGCTCCCTGGCTGTGTAGTCGTTTGAATATTTTAATATGATTCTGTGAGTTTAATGAACTTTCTGATGCTCGTCTGCAGTGCTACTTAGAAAACGAAGCCTTTGAATGCAGCATTAACAAGCGCTCATGCTGGGAGTCTCCTGGCTGCTTTGTGAGGGCCCAGTAAGCTGCAGGCAACTTAGCAACCCACTCACTGGTGGAAGCATCAAGACACATTTTCTCTGGCTTGACTACCAAACTCTTTGTTAGGAGACAGCTCATTTCTCATTAAGTTCCCAGCGTTGCTGCTATGGTTCATCTTTACGACATTCTTTACTTCACTGTGAGACAATCTGACGCTTCATCTGCCTCACTTGTCTTTGCATTTTTTCTTGTGTTAAACTCAAAGGCACGAGATGCACATTCTCCCAGCAGCTTTAGTGATAAAGCACCATCCATAGTGGGCAGCGTTAAGGTTTTCTCTTTGAACACAGAGGAGGATAAAAGCCTGTTGATTCCTAGACGTTCTGTAGACACGATACAGCTGTGCTGTCGTAAGGTTAGCACAGAGGTGTCACTGATCCAAAGGAAAAGTCCCTTCAGCTCAGCGCCTGGTCCTGTTGAACACGTGCTCAAACCTTCTTCTTGTTTCTGAACCAGGTGAACGTCCACAGCACGCCGCCATTAACGTGTTCATTCCTCTCAACTATTCTTAGTTACAAGAGAGTTGGCAACACAGATTTGTCTTTTGAAAGGGGCTTTGTTGAAAAAGATAAAACGGTACAGTACTTTGGACGTATTCATTCAACCTTTCTTTAGACAGTACGCAGTTCATGTTGTAGTTTGTAGGATTTGGGTTGTTCAAAGGTTTTCCTTGAAATATGATGTAAGCATGAATGAATCATAGAACCCCATGAATGACACATGAATGAGGTGCCATCACTGATGAAGATACTTGACTTGTTAGCAAACATGTTACTCAGAAAATGCATGTGGATATTTTTAAGGGGGGGGGGGGGGGGGTTGAAAAACGAACCATGAAATGAAGATTATTATTGCAGACATCCTGTTTGACATTAATTAGTCTTTCAATAACTCATTTATATCTCAGTAGTTTTCATTCATTCAACCTTTATTTCTACTTCAAGTTAATCTCATTGAGCCTCGAGAACTCATTTACAATTTAACAAAGTGATGACAACGATAGACAATCATGAAGGAAGCATAAAAGTTGAGAAGAACAAGTGAAATAAAATGGTATTTAAAAAAACTAAACAAAAACAGCTA